AGTGATCTTGTTCGAGAGACGGGAATATAAAGTTTTGTCCTGAGACAGTCCAGTCGCCATCATGCGTTGTAACAGTGAGGAGCGTGCTTTTGCCGCTGAGGCCTACTTTTCGAGTGGATTTGGAGTGGCTGGCCCGCTCTCCAGATTTGGCCCCTTGTGATTTTTTTCTATGGTTTTCTTTGAAATCCCGTGTTTATGTGAACCATCCAAGGACCCTACAAGATTTGAAGACCAACATCCAGGAAGAAATTGCCAACATAATGCCTGCTATGCTGGCAAGAGTCATGACAAACACCAGAAATCGGTTTACTCAGTGAATGGAGAACGGGGGACGTCACCTACCTAATTTGATCTTCAAAACTACGTAAAACAAAACTTTATGTATGCGCCTACATTATATAAAAAATCTGATTTTATTAAGTTTTGAAAAAAAGGAAGTTATGCTGCTGCACCCTGTATAATGAGCAAGGTAAACAGCTGCCTCCAAAATCACCCACTGGAAATGTGCAAGGAGCAAAAAGAAAAGGGAATAGTAGATTAACTTGCTTTACCAGCCACCCCAACATGTTGAAAAAGCAAAGAGCTATTAATTTTGCCACAAAATAGAAATCATAAGAAGACTGGAGGCTGATGTAAGAAAGAAAAATCATCCCAGGATGTATTTTGGAAGAGGTTTTCAAGTGGTTTTTGTAAAATTTAAAATGTTTTGCTTACTAATGCAAGGTTCACCTGACCTTTCTCATGTGAAAAATGTTAGTTTTAGATTAAGAACTTGGCTGAACCTGTTGAATTGCTCTTCTCTTTGCGCTGTAGAACCTATACCTGTTCTTTCCATATTATTTCTAACACTGCTATCAATGTTTCTGTTAAAAAAGTAAAGCTCAGGAACACATCTACTTTTATTAACTGAGATAAAGCACTACTTCAAAGAAAGGCTACTACCAGCAGACATTTTTATTCCTGTGAGGAAAAAAGATTTCTTAAGTAACAATGATTGTTTTCTAGCACTTATCCCAAAGAGCTAAGGAGCTCTTTGTTACCACTGTTGGGAACTGAATGTTGGATTGGAGCGACCCAGAAAATCACATTCTTAATTTGGTTCCTGATCTGAAAAGGATGTAACTGCCGAAGTATCTGCTTATATGACATTAAGAATCAATGTGGCACTTTTCATGATGTGAAAAGAAGAATGTTTGGCAGTCTAGCTCTCTATTCACTGAAGTGTGTTCCTTTTAAACTTTTGCCACAATAACCTAGTGATGAAAAACATAGGCACAATCAAATACCAACTATCAACATGCAGTCTTCATGAATGCTATGGGAAGGGCCAGCACAGTAATAAGCTGAACCCTTAAAAAATCCAACTTGATAGGCCAATCAACTGACCTGAAAAGTTCAATTACTATGGATTAGCAGTACATGCTCAGGCAGCAAAGGCAAGGGAACTCTGTACCTGTTCAGAGGTTAAGCAATTCGTATTATTTTCTTTTTTTAAAAAAATCCATGGCAAAAAAGAAAAATATGAAATAGTGAAAAGAAACAGGTTTTTTTTCTAATTGCATCAAAGCATATTCAGACTTCAGCTTTAATCTTAGCAAGCTCAGGGATGAAAAACCTGCTTTTTACAAAAAGAAAGAAAGAAAGAAAGAAAGAAAGAAAGAAAGAAAGAAAAGGAAGATCTACATTCTATGTTTTGTATCAAATTCCAAACAGTCAAAGTAGGAAAACTGAAATAAAGTATTTAGGGAACATATTGGAAGGCGCAGTGGATCATGTCCATGGACTTCCAAACATATTTTCTCTATCTCAGTCTCAATCTCATTTTCTCACACACATACTAGCTGGGATGTCTCACAGTTGTCATGGTGGCAGATGACTATTATAAAAGCATGTGTGCACACATAACCACTGTCCTTGCAATTCCATCACCCATGAAACAACTGCCAGCATCACCCTCAGCCAAGAAGAACTGGTCAACTGGCAGCCACTCCACAGATGGCTTGGGAGCCCAGTTGGGCTTGCACTGGTTGTCTTCAGCTGCTAGTGCATGAAGGCCTAACTACATTCTAGCACATTAGTGAGTACAGGAGGAAGCAGCAGAGGATGGGTTAATAGAAGAGTGAGTAAGCAGCAGGCAGCCATTCCCGCCTTTTCTAGCCTAATTATCGGCTTTCTTTGTGTGGTTGTTGGGCAGGTCATGTTATAACACTCCAGTTTTTAATGATACACCTTCACCTATGCATGAATAATATGTTGGAATTCTTCTCCAATCTGTTTTCACAAATATACACCTTACAGCGTTTGGTAAAAAAAATAAATGTAAAGCCCAATAATCTAAGTCACAGGTCCTCAGAAATCTCCTGGTGTGCAAAGGCGCCATTTACTTGGCTTTGTTAGTGAATCCTTTGTTGTCCTTCTGTGATCCCTTCAGGGGACTATGTGGGAGAGTTTTCCAACAAGTGTAGAGCCCAGCTAAATTCTGTATTGTTTTGTTAATGAAGCGTAGGGAATCTAGTTTGTCAAAAGGGGGTTTCAGTTTTCACAGCCGAGAAGAGGTCATCATACTAGGGGGAGATTATTTCTCCAACCTGTACTTAGACACAACCTGATCAGTAACATACTTATTCTTCAGAATAGAAAGGGCTTTTTCATAAGGAACAGCATCAAACATTTGGCCTCTTTAGGATAATACAGCTCCATAATACCAGAGTGCATTTTTTTTAAGTTTGAAGTTTAAAGAAATTCTCAGATTGTAATAAATGGTAAATCTGAAAGGACACAGGATAGATTTAATACATAAGCACAAAGTTAACTCATGTTTAAATTATGACTTTTCAGAAGAGGGATCATTCAAACATTTTAAATACAGTACAGAAATAACACTATGTAACATGATTTTTGTTCTTGAGTTATAAATGACATTTCCTAATTGGTTCTGCCATAAAAACATGGAAAAGATTTATTAAACTACAAAGATTTATTAAATAGTTTTTCGATGAATATCTCATAGAGTCTTAACCAATTCAACATAGTTTGTGGCAGCCACGAAAACTACATTTCTGGTGTCTAACAATTCTTTTCAAAGTAAATGCTAGGCCTGGGCAATCCATGGTTCTAAATGGTTCTAAAGTACTTACAAAACGAAAGTTCTGGTGGTGAAAGTTTCAGAACTCTAACAAAACTTTCAAAATTTAATTATTATTTTATTACTGGCGATTTTTATGACAAAACCAATTAGGAGCTGCCATTTATAATGAAATTTTGAGAGTTTTGTTAGAGTTCTGAAATTTTCACCACCAGAACTTTAGTTTTGTAAGTACTTTAGAGCCATTTAGAACCATGCATTTACTAAATACCACACAATTAAACAGGAAATAGCACTTTCAAACCAGGAACATGTTTTTTTTCAAATTGTGTTATAGTGTAATCAAAACAGTAAAAAAAATCTAAAGGACATAGCAGATAATATTAAAACAATAACAATACCAGATGCCAAAATCTCCAGAACGTGTCTGATCTTAGAAGTTAAGCAGGGTCAGTTCTGGTTAGTATTTGGATAGATCACTGCCAATGAATACCAGGCACTCTAATCTACATTTCTGAGAAAAGGACTGCAAAACTACCTCTAAGTACTCCTTGCCCAAGAAAATCTTATGAAAAATGCATATGGCACCATAGCTCAACAGGCAACTTGAATGCATACACCCCCATACAGAGGAAAATAACTATGAAGTGATTTGATCAAAGCACAAACATTTTGAATAAAAGGATTACAATACATTATATTAAACCAAGAGTTAGAAATCAGATCAAATAAAACCGAAAGGCATCTATAAAAGTAATCACACTTCACAAGCATATCAGGAGGTATTAAGTAACATATTTAATTATTTGTCAAGTGCATTCTTCTATAAATTAGATTTCTCTAATAAGCTAAATTAAATGCAAACACTGAAAACAAGGTGGAAAAAATCAGGGCTACGCTTATCACTAGGCAGAGTAAGGTGGTTGATTCTGTCTTGCTCCCAGAAAGATGTCTATGGGATTTTCTGTCTCAGGTATCAATATAACTGGGTCAGCCTTTGTACTATGCACAAGGAAAGAGGGCAGGAACTGCTGCTTTGCCTCAGGCAACAAAATGTGTTGGACTAGCCCCAATTTCCATACACGGGCAGTTCAAATCAAAGAAACAGAGAGCACACAAAGCCTTCCTGTGGCATTAACACCTCTGAATTAAGATTGCAGGGCTAAATATTTGGTATCCTGCCCTGTACTATCACAGTCAATCTTACAGTTTTATGAATAAACAATGATGTTTACTTTTTCCCAACCATCACTATTCCAATCAATACCTTCTCCTATTCGAAAGTATTTGAGTCTTTCAAATGAAACGAATATGCAAAACATTGTTAGTATTTTGCACACTGTCTCAAACCATTCATTCTCAATATGGTATCAAAACAATGCAACTCCACAGAAATACAGAAAAACAAATAAGCCTATGGGGGGAGAGCAGCTTCAACACTCTTCCTTTTTTAAAAAGTTGAGTTTAAATTACCAGTTCAAAGCCTTGTTAACAATTTGCATAAGATTAGAAAAGTACTTTGCTAACTTTCCATCTGCCATTCCAGTACACTAAGGCCAATACTGACACAATTTAGTGGACATTCCTGCATAAAATACATTCTTACATATTTTACAGAAATTGCCATCTATTCCACAAAGAAAAAACATATAATTACCTGATTAGAATAAATGGGAAAATACAATTACTCAGTAAGAAGTTATCAGGTTTCTAAATCTTCAACAGGTTTTCTCCAGTTCATAAAATATGAACTGCCAAAATGCAGATTTTTGTTTAATGGTAACACAAACATGAAACTTTTAATTACATTTGCAAACAACTGGTAACAAAAATCTTATTGGATAGGTTTTTTAAAGTACATATAAGGATTTATGTTACCTTGTGGATTGCATTGCTGTTTTTGCATGGCACATACCTTTATGCTCAGATAATTACCACCTTTTGTCTGAGGAGCGGCAGCTTGATGATTCATAATGACACCTCCTCTGTGCAGATTTCAGTTCAAAAATACAAGTCCATAAAATCAACTGTGTCAAGACAATGCAGACTGTAACACAAGCTCATGCCTCCCTAATAATTTCACTTGGCGTGTCTGCCAGTTTCCCTTCACCCTTTTTGCGTGTGAATTCCATGTCCTCCCAAAATGTTCTCAGGAAGTTTTCTGCCCTGCCAGTTGCACACTTAACAGACCGTGAGAACAGACTGAAGAGTCCAATTCCAAAGAGCCTGGACTGGTCTCCTATTGCTTCATTATGCATACTGATGTAACTTCCTTTGCCCAGGATTGGGAGGGCGAGAAGGGAGAAAAGGGGGGGGGGAGAGAGAAAGAGAGAGAGAACAAACAAAATTACCTCTAGCAGAAGAACAAAGCAGCTCTGCAGGGAGCGAAAGAATCCCCCACACACTCCTGGTTTCATAGACAAAACAACACTCCAGGATACTCTGCTAGAAGATAAAACTTGCAAATTTTTCCTCATAGAAGACAGACAAACTTTTACAGTATTCAGTGGTTTATAAGTTAATTCTCCTCCAGCTAAAAAAATGTGATTTATGGAAGCTTTATCACAGCTACAAGACTCAGGAAGCATTCCAAATTAATTCCCAGATTGCTAAACACACTATCCTTTAAATACATCTTTATTAATGACTTAGATGAAGGGTTAGAAGGCAGGATCATCAAGTTTGCAGACGACACCAAATTGGGAGGGATAGCCAATACTCCAGAAGACAGGAGCAGAATTCAAAACGATCTTGACAGATTAGAGAGATGGGCCAAAACTAACAAAATGAAGTTCAACAGTGACAAATGCAAGATACTCCACTTTGGCAGGAAAAACAAAATGCAAAGATACAAAATGGGGGACGCCTCTGAGCAGTACGTGTGAAAAAGATCTTGGAGTCCTCGTGGACAACAAGTTAAACATGAGCCAACAATGTGATGTGGCGGCAAAAAAAGCCAATGGGATTTTGGCCTGCATCAATAGGATCATAGTGTCTAGATCTAGGGAAGTAATGCTACCCCTCTATTCTGTTTTGGTTAGACCACATCTGGAATATTGTGTCCAGTTCTGGGCACCACAATTCAAGAGAGATATTGACAAGCTGGAATGTGTCCAGAGGAGAGCGGCTAAAATGATAAAAGGTCTGGAGAACAAGCCCTATGAGGAGCGGCTTAAGGAGCTGGGCATGTTTAGCCTGAAGAAGAGAAGGCTGAGAGGGGATATGATAGCCATGTATAAATATGTGAGAGGAAGCCACAGGGAGGAGGGAGCAAGCTTGTTTTCTGCTCCCTTGGAGACTAGGACGCGGAACAATGGCTTCAAACTACAAGAAAGGAGATTCCATCTGAACATGAGGAAGAACTTCCTGACTGTGAGAGCCGTTCAGCAGTGGAACTCTCTGCCCCGAGTGTGGTGGAGGCTCCTTCTTTGGAAGCTTTTAAACAGAGGCTGGATGGCCATCTGTCAGGGGTGATTTGAATGCAATATTCCTGCTTCTTGGCAGTGGGGTTGGACTGGATGGCCCATGAGGTCTCTTCCAACTCTTTGATTCTATGATTCTACATTACAATGGGGTACTTTTCATGCCAAGAAAAAATCTAAACCATCCTCTAACAGACAACAACAACAACAACAACAACAACAATTTATTGATTAGCCAGTTGGCCTTATCAAAAACAGACAGCGCAGACACAACATACAACATACGTCTGGTCCTATTAAAATGGAATACAAATATATAGGAATTTGTCAACTTAAAACCAATGTAGCTAAGCTGTAGATATATGCATCAACTATCCTCGTCTCCCCTACACTGCACCCCAATCTGATCTATGTACTCTGATCTCCTTTTAGCAGCTTTAAACAAACAAAGGGCAACTTTTGTTATCAGAATGGGGTTGTAACCAGCCAACAAAAATGAGTTTTTAGCCGCTGTATCCCAGTTTATTTTATTGCAAATAATAGGCCATAAATATTTTTTCCTTTCTTTTTCATATAGATTGCAGTGATGTGGTTCAGATTTTCAACTTCGGGGGCACCACAGATACATAGTCTTTCCTCATGTGGGATATGATTGAATCTACTGTGTCTCTCCATGGATTCAATTTCTTCAAATCTTGCCCTGGTAAAAGCGATTCTTAGGTATCTTGGCATATCAGCTTTTAGGTACGGCGTCCGCTGGAAATTGTGTTTAAAGTGCCCTAACCACTTCAAGGATCCTGTGTTTGAAAGGATGGCTATATCTTTCTGGGCTTCAGTATCTAGGACCCTTTGAGGTACTGGCCTTTTTTCAGCATCCCTATTCTGGCCTAAGGAGGCAATTTGTAATCCGCAGGTGCGGAGGGACCTTGTTAATTGTTTTGACCAGGAAGCTTGGTTTTGACCATTAGATTGTTCTAAAAAGAACAATTTTGGAGGTCTATTATTTTTATTTTAGACCAGTAATTAAAGGCCCTGATTTTGGCGAGTCCTTCAATAGAATATATTTCTAGCTCTGCTCTGACTGCAGCGGCAGTGGTCTTAATGTCAACACCAAGTATCTGTCTTAGAAATTTTGATTGTACTTGTTCTAGTATTGGGAATTTGCTTAGGCCCCAGATTTCTGCTCCATATAATATCATGGGGACAATTTTTTGCTTTGTAAACTTTTATTATCGGAGATAAAGATCCAGGATATCTATGGGATAGCATTCTTGTCAGTGTGTTACAGCGTCCCCTAAATTTGATTGCACAAGACTGGAAGTGTGCAAGCCATGAGCCTGTCTCTATGCCAAGCCTAGATATGTAAAAGAACTAACCTGTTCTATGCACTCATCTAGAACCCATTTGGGTCTAGATGGGCGATTTCTGAATACCATTATTTTTTACTTGGATTTGTTTATTATCAGCTTGTTTTTGTGGATTAAATAACCAAGAGTCACTAATAAGCAACTATGGAATTAAAAAGGACGATATTAATTCTAGAGGGCAACTGTCAGGCCCACATCTGCCCCTTGAGGGACACCAGAAGACCACAACACCCACTTCTGTCCCCACTCTGTGCTCAGTATAATGTGGGGTGGGGTGGATAGCCATACCTCTCAAGAAAATTCAGCTAAGCAATGGCTAAAAACATCTCACAAAAGTTCCGGCAGGTATTTTTGTCCTTTACTTTCTTTAGACCTCCCACAGGCCTTTTCTTAAAACCGTAAGTCACCGGATGGTCATTTTCCCTATGAAAAAAGGCTGTGGGTGGGACATGAGGAGAAAGAATGTGTTTACCGATTCTCAATAGACTTTGGAAGAAGGAAAGTTTATTCATATTCCACATGGAAAAAATATGCCTGGGGAAATTGGACATAGGGACATTGAGGCAATGGTCTTGTGGGCCATAGTTTGTGTACCATTAATAGTTTATCTACCCCTGATTAACAGCTCCTGATTTTAAAAAAGTGCATGGCAGCAATTTTCAACTTAATTTTTTTTACTAGTTGCAGATTTTCCCTAGCATGAAGGTTAGCTCAAGACAGCAGTTCGAGGAGTTCTGATGAGAGGGGAAACAGCACGGAGAAGTCCTCCAATCACACACTAAATTTCTGCCACTATAGAATGTGGCATGAGTCAATACTTTTAGCTCCAATGTCCCTGAAGTACAATGCACAGATAACAATACTGACTAGCCTTACTGAGTTATTATAAGGATTGCAATATAACATATGTTAAGTGTGCTGGGCACTAGAAAACATCTACAGGCTGAGTATTCCTTATCCAGAATTCCAAAATTGTCCACATGACTGACTGGTACATAATTTCCTTTGATTTCTGGTTCAATGTATACAAACTCTGCTTCATGCACAACTTTTTAAGAATATTGGATAAAATTACCTTCCAGCTATACGTATAAGATGTATTTGAAGCATAAATAAATTTTGTGTTTAAACTTGGCCCCCATAGCCATGATATCTTATTATGTAATTACATCACTGTTTTAATGAGATCACAGCAATGACTGACAGTTGTGGGATACTGTGGCTAACCACAATGACAAGTGGAGTAACTAATTCCTAGTTCATCCAACATTGTGGCTTCCTTGCTCATTTTGAATGCACTTCTTAATCCTCCCTGATGCATGAAGATAAAAACTGTTGCCTCCAGAACTACGATGACATCCAATAAAAAAACAATAGTTAACATTTATCATACTATAACTCAAGTTCCATTAAGAACAAGATATTTGTTTGTTTTCCAGACCTTGCTAAATGTTTAGGAAATTAATCAGCCAATGCAAAAAAGTTCAAAATATCCAAATCTCTATAAATAAAAATGCTCTGTGTGTAATGAGTACTTTAAAAACAAAAGAACCAATGAACGAAATCACACCAAATTTGGCAACAAAACGTCTCACAACACAAGGAGTAACCATCACTCAAAAAATTATGATTTTGTCACTTGGGAGTTGTAGTTGCTGGGATTTATAGTTCACCTACAATCAAAGAGCATTCTGAACTCCATCAACGATGGAATTGAATCATAGAATCATAGAGTTGGAGGAGACCTCATGGGCCATCCAGTCCAACCCCCTGCCTAGAAGCAGGAAAATCGTATTCAAAGCACCCCCGACAGATGGTGCTTTGAATGCGATTTTCATCCAACCTCTGTTTAAAAGCTTCCAAAGAAGGAGCCTCCACCATACACAGAACTCCCATGACCAACAGAAAATACTGGAAAGGTTTGGTGGGCACTGACCTTGAGTTTGAGAATTGTAGTTCACCTACATCAAGAGAGAACTGTGGACTCAGTTCATAATGATGGATCTGGACCAAACTTGGCACAAGCACTCAATACGCCCAAATATGAACACAGATGGAGTTTGTGGGAAATAGACCTTGACATTTGGGAGTTGTAGTCACTGGGATTCACAGTTCACCTACAATCAAAGAGCATTCTGAACCCCACGAATGACAGAATCGGGGGCAAACTTTCCACACAGAACCCCTATGAGCAACATAAAATACTTAAGGCCATCCAGTCCAATTCCCTTCATCAGGGCAAGAAAACGTAATCAAAGTCCTCCTGACAAAGAGCCATCCAGCCATACATATAGATAGATATAGATAGATAGATAGATAGATAGATAGACAGACAGATATGATTCACACACACACAGATAGATTTGAAAGGGACCCCTAAAGAAGGACAATTATATGTTGCATATTCCAGAGTAGGCAAACCAGACACTCTCCACATCAACATTGACAAAGAAACAACAAGAAATACTGTTTTC